ATGTAATGTAGCAGTCACAACACACGCACACACACACACACACACACACACACACACACACACACACACACACACACACACACTAATCCAATCAAACTTTAGTGTCACCCCTTCAGGTTTCATTTCATCATGTCCAACTGGACTTGCAGGGAAAAGGAAGTTGTAGCCTGGAGCTTCCAATCACCTAAACACACATGGATATACAGAGACTTGGGTAAGATATTAAGAGAAGGAAAGCCCAAAAATGTAAAATCTGCTGCTGAGAGAGAAGAGGGAGAATAAGTGTATATGGATGGTACTTTACAAGAACACAGCACGGAGCAAAAACTACTGTTCCTACATCGTATCCTGTAGTCTCAGAATGTAAATGATCTTGTAAATAAATGTTAAACAGTAAATAAAAAGTAAAATGTTTATTTATGCTATTTAAACAGTGAAATTAACTTTTTTCGTAGTTAATAGTTTTATCATTTTTCATTAAGGGCTGGTTTTAATACTTGTATGAAAACCTTTTGGAGTCAAGGACTGGCTAACGTGTAGAGTCCACGGACATCAGCAAGTGTTATTTCCTTTCTTGACATGTTCTGCCAGCACGCTCCAAAGAAACACACCCTTGTTTGCTGCTAGTTTTGACTTCAGTGACTTAAAAGCTGTGGTTGTTAAGATCATGTGAATGGCTTAAAGGCCATTAAAGAGAGCATTTCTTTGCTAATATATACCTAAAAAAGCCTGCCCTTTTCTGGATGCTCCAAAACTGATCAGAAATGCAAAGTCTGCAAAGGAAATCCAGCAAACCAAAGCAAAGTCTAATTTGCCCTTCCTCCTCTTCAGCATAAATAGTGTTCGCCATTTGTTGTAAAGCCTCTGTGTTTCATGAAAGCATCACTTGATTATAGACTGAGTAATTGTTGTGATGGGTGTGAATAGAACAGCTGGGTATGAAACTACTTGTTGGTCAATTGTCTGTAACCTTTGAGCCTCTGAAAATCTCCCAATATCTATAAAAATAGTTTATTTCCTAAATATTTCACGCTGTACTTTTGTTAAGACCTTTAAATTAAAAACCTGCACGTCTGTCACATTTAAATGATCCCTCAGAAAAGTACACATAGCTAAGGATAGTTAACCTTGGGGGTACATTTTGTCCAAATATTACCTGTAGGGACAGAAATGCTAAAATAATTACTAAAGCCAGTGCTGGTCTTACTTAAGCACAAACATTTCAGAATCCAAAGAAATATCGTTATGTTACTGTTCTATGTTACAGAAGGAGCCTTTAAGTTTAATTTAAAAAGGAAAGGTACTTTTAATGACAGGTTTAGTTGTTGTGTATACCACCAGAATCTTCTTTTGATGTTCTGATACCTTTGATGAGGCGGCTTCAGGGCAATCCATACTTTAGACTGACATTAAGAACCTATGGAATTGGGCTGTTGGCAAAAACGAAGGTTTTCCTAATTCAGAAGTCCCTCACTGCAGCAGGCTCCTTTGTAATAATAGTATGGTTGCAGAAAGACCTGTTCTACAAGGTTTTCACAGGAATTATTCATGTGGGCATCTATTGTATAGGAAATTAGGCATTTAGATTTACACAGTGAAGTCTTGGGAATTCAATTTTAAGCATCATATTAATGACTTTGTTGACTAATCTGACACTAAAGAAGAAACATTTCGACCACTTACAGATGAAGAAAATAATGTTGATTAGCTCATAACTGCTGTATAAAGACACTTGAGACCATCAGTGGAGAAGTACTGGAACAAATGGGTTCCATGATGGCTGCACGGCTCAGCTTGCAGAACAGAAGTGCTGCTAATGCACTGATGCCTGAGTCCACGCTTCAAAGAGTCAGAGTTGTTATTCTGGCGTGAGCAAGGTCAAAAGCATATTAAAGACGAAATGTTTCTACTCACCAGTATATAAAGAGTTATCAGAGCTGCAGTTTCTTTATACTTCATCATGACCATCATGAAGTAAACATTAGAAATACTCTCAGAATAAAGGCTTCAAACAAGCCTATTACACCCAAAAAAGGGTGTTTTTGGAGCTCCTTGCATCAGAGCCTCAGCTGCAAATTATCCTACTTTAAAGAGTGAGGAGGCTGAAGTTAGTCCGAATACTGTCTGAAGCATCAAACACTGAATGTAGAGCAACATATATCAGCTAAAACATTAAGACCACTAACAGATGAGGTAGAGAACACTGATTGCTTCGTCATAATGCAGGTTGTTATTGGGAATCCTTGGTTCCTACTAGAGCAGGGCGATATGACCAAAAATATTTATGACGATATACATCTGAAAATTTGCAATAACGATATAACTGACGATATAATTGATACTAGACAAAATACTTTACAACTCCACAACTTTATTAGTGCAAAAAAACCCCAAAAAACATCAATGTATGTTCACTTAAACAAGCAGCTGTTTTTTATGTGCATTAAAGTTATATAAAAATGTAACAGTGCAAATGCAAATTCCTCGCTGACAGTTTAACCAAAAGGCATTTCCAGTAGAAATTAGCCGACATATCCTCAGCACAACCAGGTATAATATCCACAAAACTTAAAAGAGGTTATACACACACACAATACGGTAATATTATGTTGAAGCACAGTACGTATCACTCCGCGAGGCTCCTGCCTACGATAGCTGTAATGCTCCGACAAGCCATCAAGCGGTGCGGCTTCGCAGCTCAGCAAAGTCGTACTAAAACATTTGACAGATTTTCGAGCGCCGTGCACATAAAATCGTTTCGAGGTCAGTAAACACAACCAGAGTTCATACATAAGGCACACGGGATTATAAGGGGCTCTGTCGACTTTCAGAAAAATCAAAGGATTGATTTTAAGTGTGCCGTATTTTCCAAACAACACGATAATAACGACGGCCCGCTAGCATGTGCTACCAAAAATAGTGCTTTGTTGTGTATCTGAGGGACGAAAGCTAAACCAGTTCCACACCACTGAAGCTGCAGCACTTTTACAAACCAGTTCTGGTTCATCGTTTCATTCAACGATCCGCTTTCGCCCTTCTCATTCTGCGTCGCCGCCATGCTTTTTCCGCCATGTGCGTATGAAAACAAAGGCACTGCGCATGCGTGTTTTACCCATATTCTATTGCGATATTTCATTTTCTTGTCGTTGCCCAGCATTATACCGGTATTACCGTGAACAGTGTGATATAGCCCAGCCCTAATTCCTTAGTATTAGACTAAGACCATTCTCTTTGCAATGACAGGCCCTAGGTACACAATGCACTTTCCACACTGCAATAACTGCTTATGAATTGCTTGAGGGACTCAACAAAGATCATCTGCCTCATCTTCAAAACACCCAGATCCTGATGAAGTATATCATCAGAACAAGGCTGATGCCCCATTCCACAGCATCCAAATGATAAAGCCCCAGTGCCAGACACCACTGTGATCACCCAGAGGTCCTATGTGCATTCCCCAACAGGGCAAAGCCTCAGGACAATATTAGGCTGGTGGTTTTAATGTGCCTGTTGATGCCCATTACTTCCCCATCATAATAATTTCAAGGAGTGTTAACCTTAAATGAAGACGCGGACATAAGACAGAGACAAGGAAAAGAGGTCTTTGTATTGACATTTGAATAAAATGTATAAATGCAGAAGGGAAGTCCCATCATGGGTTTGTTGTTGTTGTTTTGTTCTTTGATAAAAACCAACTAACAGGTTTGTGCCAATTTAAGCATTTAACGTTTTTGGTGCCAGAAATTCTGAAGCTTGTCTCAAAGAGCTTTAAGGTGCAATCAGTATTTCCCTCTAAAATCTATCTTGGTAAGAGTGAATAAAAAGCTTTGGAGGATTTGGACTCTCCAAGCAGTGTATAAGAAGCTTGGACAGTCATCAGAACCCCAAAAGAGAAAGATGGGAGACGGGGAATTGGATTCTCTCAAATAAATAAAGTACAAATAACACTGAGGAAGAAAAATAAACCCCAAATTAGGCACGCTAAGCTACCAGGAAATGTTTTAATCCAGGACGAGTTACATGGTTGTGATTCCTGAGCCTTACTGTATGTGCAGAGTTTCTTTTAATGATTATCTGCTGAAGAGGGAGCACTTTAACCCTCCCAAATATTTGCAGAAATTTGAACTCTAACAATCACGTCTCCGGCATTCATTTGAGATAAGTTGTTTTTAGTAACCTGGGGAGAATTTAAAATAGCATACAAGTAGAAACACTTTAATACCACTGTTAGTTCATTTCATTCATTAGTTTATTCTAACAATATCAAAATGTAATCATAGTTTCTTAGTATAGTAGTTGTGCAACCATAAAGATGATTGTATTGCTTAATTCCAATAACTATAATATTTAATTACAAATGCAAAAAGTGACTTTGGTTTGAATCAGTCTCGCCTGTGTGAAATGTGGCAGAACGCAGTTTGTATTTTATGAATAAATAATGAAGTTGTTGCTGTTGTGTCACATGCATAAATGATATACGTTGGGGGTACGTATACGGTTGTTGTTGTTCTGCTCATGCCCTTCATTCTGCAGGCACTCCATTTACTCATGCTATGTTTGAATAGCAAATATAAAAACCCAACAAGTTTTCACAGTTATCTTGGTGAGTCATGAGGATTGATGTGCTGGCACTGACTCTGGTCTGGTCTCTTCAAGGGTTGCCAGATATGTGTTGGTTTTAGGTGTATGGATTAGGGCAGTTTGAGTAAGTGCGAGCAAAGAATTCAAGAATTGGCACATTTAAGCACAAAACGCTGCTGGTTTAGATTCAACACTCAGACCCAAGTCAGTCTAATATGGACATTTCTGGCATCTCATTTAATAATATATTCTTGTTTGCCAAATTTGGATGATCAAGTTTTTTGCCTGCTTTTTTTCCCTTTTTTTTTAGGTTTTATAGTAATTCCTGTTAGTGCTTTAAATGCTGAATGTTGTAAATGATTGCCTGTGTTACATAGCACACATCCAACAAGAAATTGCTCTGTCCTCTGTTTCTCCAGAGGTTTAACTTTGTGTCCCTACCCACTGATGTCCTGGAGATTGAGGTGAAGGATAAGTTTGCCAAGAGCAGACCAATCATCAAGCGTTTCCTGGGGAAGCTCTCGGTCCCGGTCCAGAGACTGCTGGAAAAACATGCCATCGGGTAAAACACATTTATGAGGATTTTCCCTGTTTAAATAAATGCAGCATGGCTGTCATCAGCTCAGGGGTTTGCTTGTGCTCAATGGTTCAATCTGTAGAGCTGTAAAAGTTCTCCTACATAAACTGGCCCACACAGGCTGTCCGTGAGGTAAATGGTGTGGGTGGTTATAGCTGCTTTAAAAGCCATGTAACAGTCTGATTTTAGCTACTGTTTTTTTTTTTTTTTTTTTTTACTGTATGTTTTTACCGAGTTTCTCCCTTCTCTCTCATTTACATACCCTTTCTAACTGTCGCCTGTCTCTGTGTTGTCCCCAGGGATCGAGTAGTAAGTTATTCCTTAGGTCGCAGGTTGCCTACAGATCATGTCTGTGGCCAGCTGCAGTTCCGCTTTGAGCTGACCTCCTCCATTCACCCAGGTACACCAGGCTTAATGCTATGTAGTAGTATGGACAGTTCACCTTGAATTAGTAGCTGTAGATTATGTAAGAGACTGAAAAGGACTTGGATATGCTGCGAGATTTATTTTATCTCCATAATACATTTTATAATATAAGATTTTAAACTGCTACTAATGTAATGGCACAACCATTGTACCCAGTTGCTGCCTTCAAATGGAACTTATACCGGCGGTTAATGTTAAAGTAACATCCATCAAATGTTCCACTGTTGGCTAACTAAATGATGTTTAACCGTACTATAGCAACTTTTGCACTGTGTGGTGACCCTTCAGTTACAGGCATGCGTTTTTAATTTCTCTTTGATATTTGGGCTGATTGGGTCCTGATGAATATAAAAACAAACAATGAGGATATTCGTTAAAAACAGTTCGATAGAACAGTAGCAGTATAATGTCCTCATAAGTGCATATCAGGCCCTTGTAGAGCAAAATTGAGTATGTTGGTCTAAATAACCCAAAATGTGATGTTCACATCACCTCCCAGGTTCTAGGAGGTTAAAGAACATTAGCTGTACCGCACGGTCTGTCGTGTTATTTGTCAGATGATTCAGTAAAAAATACTGCAAAAGGCACCAGCAGCTCAAAGTTTAGTCTCTAATTAGCAGGTAAATCTTTGCTCTGTATCAGAGGCCACACACCCAGTATTTCTCTGAAAGATTACTGATTTCACTTAAGTCACTGCACACCGGAACTGAAGACAAAGCTCAGTTTGAAGGCAGCAACTTGAAAATGAAACTTATGAAACAGTGATGAAAGCGTGTACCTTTCTTTCTTAGACGATGAGGAGGTTTCCTTAGTCATAGAGGCGGCCTGTCCTGAGGGTGGACACGCAGCAGATGTCAACCATGCTGCTGATGCTCCCGATGATGACACACTGAGCGTGGGCCCTGACATGCCTGATCTTCCCTTGGATGCTCCTCCTGACCCTGAGACTTTACCTGAAGCAGCCTCCGCACCCAAGGAGGTCCAACCCGCTGAGAAGGAGCAGGGTGAAGCGACGTCACAGGAGGAGCAAGGAAGTGTGGAAGAGGAGACCACGGTGAGAGAGGAACCCTTGACTCCTGAGCCTCAGGTGGAGCAGGCGGAGGGAGAATCTGCTGAGCAGCAGCAGGAGGGAGGAGAGGAGGGGCAGCAGGAGAAAGGAGAGGTGGAGCAGGGAGAGGAGACTGCAGCCCAAGCCGAGGAGGAGGTTACAGCAGAAGGAAGAGAGGCTGTGGATGAAGCACAGTCAGAGCCACACTCTGACTGTGCCGTAGCAGAAATGACTCTCGATGAGGCCACTGCTGTGGAGGCTCCCCCCGAGGAAAACACTGCACCCCAGGAGGCTCCTGTAGGCCCAGCTGAAGGGGCCCCGCAGGAGGTTGGAGAGGGAGGGGAAAGAAGCTGTGCCCCCTGCTCCTGCCAGTCTCTCTTGTCGAACTACAACTCCAATGCTCATTCACGCCGTAAAACCCGCCCCTGCTCCCTCCCGGTGTCAGAGCTGGAGACGGTGATTGCCTCGGCCTGTGGCGAGCCTGAGACGCCACGATCCCACTACATCCGGATTCACCACCTCCTTCACAGTCTTCCCTCGGCCCAGCACAGACCGCCCAGCCAGGAGGAAGAGCAAAGTGGGGAAGGAGTGAATACAGACAGCACTGTGGAGACAAACAGCACATCACCAACACATAAAACCTCCAAAGAGCAGGAGGGGCAGGAGGATGATGAAGAAGAGGATACATCACAGTCACCCTCTCAGGTAGGGGCAGTAATGGGCTGGTTAGACACTTGCTAACAAACAGAAGATGTTGTGGAGTCATTCTTACTATGTGGTGTATGCAGTGGAGCTTATTAAGCTGGAGTTCCCCCAAGAAGTGTTGGCAGTACACCTGTTTAGCACATATAGCATGTAAGCTAGCTTTTCTCGATCTTCTGTGCTCATACTGTCTCTTTGGTTTAGTGTTAGCTATAAACCAAAATGATCCAAATTAAATTGTTCCAACTGAATTTGAATAGCGTGCCGTTTATGAGACAGGGATGTGCTGGGATTGCTCACACGATGCATAAATCCTGTTCTCATTCTGCACTTAACATACTGAAGGGCTAACCCACTCATTCACTCTGATTCACCTCTGCTGAAGAGTAATAAAAGATCTGTGTCTTTAAACTCGTGCAGGTTCTGGGGTGTCCGGGCCCCTGCTGTCGGCGCTCGCTGCCCCGCAGCCTCTCCATTGAGCGCCTCTCTGAGCTGAATCAACTTCTGGAAGGTGAAGGATTTGGCGGAGGCCACACAGCAGTCAGGAGGATCTCCCCTTCCTGTCCAGAAAGCGAGGAGGGGGATTCCAGCAATGGAGGAGGAAGGAGGGCTGGCGGCAGCGCCCACAGAGCTCCAGGTGAAAGCGAGTGCGAGTTTTGTGACACCTCCTGCTACAGCACCTCCTGCTACAGCACCTCCTGTTACAGCACATCATGCTACAGCAACTCCGGCTATGAGGGGAGGGGGCGGTTTTGCAGCCACACCCGCCTGTCTTCGGTGGAGAGTAACCGGCTCTCCAGCAGCACTGTGTTCTCCTCCCAGGAAGAGGAAGATGAGGAGAGCGCCTTTGAGTCAATACCTGATGGAAATCACGGCCCTGACGGACAAGAGCAGGGCGGGGCAGAGAGGAGGACGGGCAGATGGAAGGAGACCAGGAGCGGAGAGCAGGGGGATCCAGCTGTGGCGGGGCCCAGTGATCAGAACAGCATCGGTGAGATTGTCTCAGAATAAGTCTTTCACCTCCAGCTTTCAAATTAGACTAGAACACTAGGCAAGCAACACATTCAGCTTCGCAGGAAGTTACCTTACCGGCCATATATAAAGTGAAGCTTTTCCCCCAATGCCTACTATGTTGGCCTATTCTTATAGAGACAAATACGCTAGCTCACGCTTCTCTAAAGCTTTCTTGTCTTATTGTCTGGCATGAGGAGAAAATTGACTTTCTTTTTTGTTGTTTGGCCATTTCTAGAATGAAATTGAACCCACAATGATTAATTTCCAAGACACTCAACTGGATGTTTTTTATGTTTCTTCTCCTTCTTTAGTCAGTACGATGACTTTTAGCTGTTCTAACACTGGTGTGTGGGTCCCTCCCATGGCTCCAAAAAAGCTCTGACATATGGGGAAGTGGAAATCCAGGGGATGTCCTGTTGAGCGTGTGGAATGATGGAGAGAATCATTTGAGATCTGTGAGTGTTGAGATGGGTCTCTGTGGATTGTCTCAGGCTCGTGTGCAGAGGTTCAGTCAGCTCAGCAGCTTAGGTTCAGCCGTGTCATGTTCATGAAGCATTGTTCTTCTGGGGGTCATAGCTGTCATTGGGGGGAGTTGTTTTCATGGAGCGGTGCCTCAATGTTCAAGTGAAGCCCAAATGAATACATGTTCCCACTAATATTCGTTTTAGCCAATTTAATGTAACTTTTTATCTACCAGGTTTTCACTGAAGGCTTCTGTTTACCTTCTGGGAGATTCAGGCTCTGCTTGTTAATGGCCCTCACTTTACTTCCTCAGAAAGGAAAATTCTGAAGTGACAAATTATTTAAGTATAAGCTGTAAACGTATATATTTAAGTATAAACTGACTGACTGTGTTTGACTGGATTTTTTTTACTATGTTGGTCATTTTTGTATATTTGTATTTTTTACATGACGTTGCCTGTAGAGAGTGAAAGCTGGATACACACACAGTTTTGCAGAACCCTGTAAGACTTCCTTTTACTAAAATGTAAAATGTTTTCAAACCCTCTGCAGAGTTTGATAGCTGTCTAGTTGTCTTCTTCCTGCTTGTTACGATTATATTCTTGCACACAAAGATTGTTTTTCCCCCCATTTTGGATTTGAATGCTCTTGGCTTGAATCTGCTTTTATCACTTCTCTGATATTTAATTTGGTTGTGTGATTATGGGAAACCTTTAAGTGTGTTTGGGTTTTTAAGACTTGGACCAGTACTTGGTTATTTATGCAATTTTCAGAGCTTGATGAAACCATGGGTTTCTCCATCCAGATCTGAATTTCTGTCAAGTGTGGGTGCTGTGTCGAGTTTGTGTGAATGATCTACAAAAACATATATGGGAAGATTTTGTGTGTGGGTGTTCAGCCTCCGCTAGCATGATGGAAACTGAGCAGAAGACCAAATAAACAAGAAAGTGAATGAGTAGTGCTGTGACGAGAGTGGAGTTTCCTCGGTTGCCTCTATTAGAGTGACTGTAACTAGCTAATCATAAGGTTTGATCCCTAGCTCCTTCGGTCTGCATGCCAATGTGTCAGGCAGCTTAGGATAGAGCATTCATTGTGTGTGTGAATGGATGGATGAGGCTGTAGTATTTGTGATTTGAGTGCTTAAATTGGGCAGACAAGCAATATTTAAACATAAGTCCATTTGCCATTTATTCTTGGACCAAGTTTGTGTTGGCCTTGTGGGTGTGTGTTGGACTGCTTACCTGTTATAACAGATGGTTTGTTACCCCGAACCATCTGGACAGTTGTCCTTGGTAACTCAAGGACAGGCAGGTGAGTAAATGAACCATGTGTCATTCACAGGCTCTTACTTTCTATCTCACTTTTAGAATAACCACATCCACAACAAGCATGCCCCTGTGCGTCCACAGCAGCTATCTGTGGGTGAACTGTGGGGCTGTGTGGGCAAAGCAAACCCACGGGTATCCCGTTTTGGCCCCAATTGGAGGCAGTCCAGCTTCAAAAACCATGTGGACCCCTTGTAGGCTAGCCCATGTGGCTCCCACAGCAGTTTTACCCTTTTGCGGTTTAGCCCATGCAGGGCCAATGTTAGTTTTACCTGCAAGGTCCCCATCATGGATTGTTGGGTCATTGAACCATAGGACCACATAAAAGATTGAAGTCGCCACTGTAGTATCCCCTGGTAGTTTGTGATGCCATGTTATTGTAAGGCCATGTTGATATTTTGAAACTGGATGTGATGGAGAGGAACACTGCAAGCCTATACAGGGGTTAAAATGGAATTTGGCAGGTGGAGGAACACTAATATCCAGTGCAGCAGTACAGAATGGCGGGAAAACAACAACTTTGAAATAAGACATAAAATCTGCTTTGTAAGCTCCAGCAGATTTATTTTCCTTACATATGGGGATAAGCTGAACTGTGCTGCTGCTCTTAGGTTTGCTGGTCTTTGTGGGTGTAACTGAATTCTATAACATTTAAGCAGACAGATCAGCTTGAATTCAAATTTATGTCTGCTACCCTTGATTTAACATTGACCATGAGCACCACAGGCTGCTTTGACAAGTCCATTGTAGTACATTACTGTTAACTTTATTACCACACTTCAAACTAATACTTTTAACTGGCAATAAACTACATTAAACTGTCATGTATTCTCATTTAACCTTTCAATAACTAAATTATATTACTTCAATTTGTTTTTTCATATTTCATATTTGAAAAACAATTTTAACTGTGCCAGTCCTTAACTTTGAAAATTTCTAATCTTTCTCCTCGTTCTCTCTCTCTTACATCTGATCACTGATTACTGTCCTTGGCACACTTTGACTTCTGGGAAATCCAGCCTCTGTACCTTTAACTCCCAAGCATATTGTGTTCCAAACTGCACAAAAAGTTTGTGTTTTGTGGTATTTGTTGAGATTTTTGAAGCAATTATAAACATTACTTCATATGTGCTCACTCACTTCTGTAATGCTAGTCACCTCTGTGGTGAATTTCCATGATTAAAACTTTACTGCCGTCTACCAGCATGAACATCAGCAGGAAGAAATGTTCCTCTGTCTTTATTGAACTGCTCGATTTGATTACTTATTAATTGAAGTTGCCAGAATGTTGTTTCGGATTGTCCTGGTTTACTTTAACTTGTGTGCTTTTGGAACTTTAGACTGGTTTTGTTATTAAAATCTGCTTTTCCACTATAGAAACTTTATAGCCTGTAATTGGAGCTTTCTATAATCTCAGCCTATGAGAACCTCCGTCCAGCTTTGCCTTCCAACTATATTTTACAAGAGGTAATGATAGACATTGGCCATCTCCACCCTAAAGCCCAAGCACTGAAGCCTTAAATCATCTCACCTCTCTTTTTTAATGTATATATATTAGTGCTGTCAGCGTTAATCTCGTTAAAGTGACGTTAACGCCATAACTGCATTAATGCGGCAAATCTCAATTAACGAGTTGCACACAGTGATGCATATCATGGCCTTCTGTCACAGTCCTACCACAACAGTGATGTTTCTGTGTTTTGCAATGTATGTACAGCCAGCGTGTACTCATGTTAAAGACATTTGATGCCTGAGCATCAGTGCTTCTCCTTGGTGATCAATGTTTCTTTTTTAGTGGAAGGAAAGCTTGCTCATTAATGTGATAGTATTTTATGGATTACATTTCCCTCAGGCTGACTCCAGCTAATCCTATCACAATCCCATCTCAAAGCATGCTATGTCTGTTTGCACTTCGCATTAACACACATTTTCCTTCATCCAGACCACATACTCACTCACCATTTTACCATTTTACTAGCTGATGGAAAAGCTGTTAGAGACTATTTCAAAACAGTCTGCAAGTAACAGTAACTATATATATATGTAAATGGAGACAGCGTTTATTGTTGGTGGGGCAATTAGCTGAAAGACTAACTTCTAGCTCTTGTTATTGGTGCTGGTGGTAGAGTAGTTCAAAAAGAGATTAAAGGAATGTGGTTGGCAGATGGGCATGATTTGTTTATGTGTCTGCAGGGCATGAAAGATGTTCCAAGAAATATTTTCATTTTTTAGATACTCTTGTCTACCAATTTCATTATAAATAAAAATGATTTAGATTATAATCTCAGAAGTTGACATAACTGCAACATGAATGTCATGGTAATTTAGGACACTGATGTCTTGGAACTTTTTCTAGGGTGTAATGACTGTACAGCATACACCTTTAATCACTGTAAAAAAGAAAAATTGGGTATAAAAGTTCACATTTATTTAGGATTTTCTTCTGGCCAATGGTTAACACAAAGGCTCAAATATGTAGATACACTCAAATCTTTTAATAAGTGTGGCTGCAGGTTCTAACGTGTCTTTTAACTAGACCTCCTAGATCTCCTTAGTGACAGACTACAGTTGGTAGTTTCTCTTTTCCAGCAAAAGGATTTATTTGACAGCATTTACTGACCAATCCTCATAACATTTGAAAATTTGTGCTCAGTTCATGCCAGGCAAGAAACCAATTGAAATAAACAGTATCAATTCTGCCAAGACGAATGGTCAAATATCCAGTGAGAATTATGCCAGGAGCTTGTTTTGAGATGCAACTTGTACAGATTTATTTACACCCAATTCTTGAGTTGCTAAAGACCTATGCTGTACAGTCATTTCAACTTGCTATTATTAAAACCCAAAATTAACATGACATTCATGCTCATCAGTATAAGCACCTTTATGACCCCAACTGTATATTAAGCTAATGTAAAACTAGCAAGATAACGACAAGTATCAGGTTCTCAAATTTAACAACAGGAAATGTTCTGATTCGAAAACAAAATGAATTTGTTATTAAAATTGTTGAGAATAAATATTATTTTTTAACCTTTCATTGGTAAACTGACACATTGGTATTTCAGCTTTCACTGATTTTTCTTTAACCTTATTGATTTGATAAACAGTTACAGTAGCATTAGCCAAATATATGCTAACATTACATGTCATTAACTCTATGACATCTATATATGAAACATTGGGCATGTCTGTCTACAGCCTCAGTGTTCACATATCTAACTAACAACACATGGGGATTCCACATCTATGTGGGCAAAGTCCAGTTTATTCCCAGTCTTATAGTTGGTACAGAATATCCTGGGCCCTATGGTAATTCACCCCGTGCTGTTTCTCTAATGTCCTGTAGGCTCAAGCTTCTCCCCTCCTGTTGGCCATCTTCCAGTCCTGCGACCCAGCCATGACCTAAACCATTTTCCTGCTGCCACTGACCAAGCCTTACCTCCAAGTAAGAACCAACAGCTCCCAGTCTTACTCTGGAGTCTCATGCTAACACTGAGTGTTTGTGCTGTGTGTGCATGCCGCCACATTTATTTGCTTTCCAAATACATTCCTTCTCCTCTGTGTTTCTTATCATTGTCTCGTCTCTCCTTACGTACTCATCGAGCTTTGAACATACAGCTTCATACTGCTCTCTGCTTCATGGTACATGGTTGGAGATTTACTCTGAGTAGGATTGTTGGATGGCTCGCTGGCCTATACTGATAGGCTGTCAGAAAGCCTAAACTCAACCGAGCCGTTACATCATCACTGAGAGTCCCCAATCACTGTTTCCCCTGCAAGCACCATTTTTCTCACACAGTACTGTAAAAGTACTGTATTTGTAAAAGAGAAACTGCTGCTGAGTTTTTTCCAATTGTAATGTTTTTGTGCTTACAGCATCACAAACCTTTTTTGTTTCATTCATCCATCCATTCTGCTTGGTCTGATAAATATCCCTACAAGCCAGAAAAAACCAGCATGTAAATATGGAGTGAACTGAAAGCCTACAAAAAATGTGAGGAGTAATTAGTAATAAGGATTGTTTGGGAATGTTTTCCTGAGGACTATAATAATGTCAAATTTGCAATTTGTGCCATTGGTTTTTCCAGTGCTGTAGACTCTTTTTGGACCACACTTGACTTCCAATCAGTTGTCATGACGTCCTGCTCATCTGTGCACTGCTCACAGAGCTCACAGAATCTTTTATCTTTGAAAATCAGACATGACCATGAGTTAAAAGTATTTCATTTTGTAATTCATAAAAGCCACACTCTAGTTTCAATATTAATTCCTTCTTGATGTTTAGTATGTGGATTCAAGAAGCTTTCTGCAGACAGGCTGGATGTAGTGGTCTTACAACACATACAGTCAAGTACTATGTTTATAATATATCTTTTCTTTTGAAGAGAACAGGTGAGTGACATTATTCGATCACTAAAATCTGATCCAGACCACCTAGAGCCCAGAATAGAACAAGACTGTTACCTAGATTAGAGATACTAATTCCCTAAACACAGTCAGGACAGCTAATAAAGGCTGCTCAAGAGTGTTTGTGCGCGTGGGCAGGCAGAGCAGTCATGAAAAACAACACAGGGGTTTTTTGTCCTTTGGGAGCATTCTTCATCTTCCTCCTACTCCCAAAGCAGTTAGACAGAGCTGAGGAAAGCTGCAGTGGTACTAGTCCGACACGTTCACATAATCGCTATTAAAGGGCTAAACAAATCCCGGATGTGGCACTACAAGACTGATACTGCTGTCTATCCGG